AAAAAATTACACCCATGAGACTCATAAATATAATAGGACATAAACTTTTAATTCATCTACTGGAGATTAATAAAGTAAGATCTGTTGGCAATCAGATCATTTATATAAATTCACTGACTAAAATAAACTATTGCATATGCAAATTGACAGGTGTCTTAAATTGTTTACCTGAACAGAGGCATTATTTTAAAAGCTTTCTAGGTAGGAAAAAGGAAAATTACGATTATCCTAAACAGGATGGATAGCTGCTTGATATGCTCCTGAAGAATTAGCAATTTCTGGCCTGTACCTGTCCTTCAACAAGAGGGAAAAGAAAATGGAATTATAGTCCTTTTGCCCGCCTAATTTCCAAGAGGTTTTTTCAACCCTTTTAATTTCCCTTTACCAAGATGCACAGATCTTGGAGTTCTTGGTCCAAACACTTGAAACAAGCCCCAGGAATTACTGAAGGTAGAAGCCTCAGGATCTCCAGTAAGAGAAATATTCCTGTTTTGGGAAAGTGTTCATTTTTGGAAATGCCAGTGATGGTCATTAACATCTGTTAGCCTTGTGTTACAATAGCAATTATGAGTTGTTATTGGGATTACGTACCGATAATCACTTGTGTGGACTGCTAAACAGGGTATTGCACTTAGAAAATCAGCTGTCTTCATTATAGAAGTGATAAAGTATTTTACAAAATACTGTGAAATCACCTGCAGAGAACTGGTTTCTAGTCTTTAGAAATGCTTTTCTTCTGATTAATAATGGCATACATTGTAATCTTAGCCTGCCTTCTTAAAGCTTTTTAGGCAAATGAAATAAAATGTAACTGCCAAAAAGATGCTGGGAGGCATGTTTATTGCAGGGGTTTCAGATTTTTTTAGTTTTTTATATAGGTGGAATGTTTTTGTTAGTCCATGACTGGTTCAAATTCTGCACAAAGGTAAATGGCACAGCACATACTGTGCCCAGGTTGAGGTAGAAATGAATTCTTGTCTAAAGCAGGAATACTTGTCATCAAATATTGTTTGACTTGAACAAAAATGCCCTAACTGGAAAGGAAAATCATCTGCTCTTTTTCTGAGCTGTTCGCTTCCTATAGTAGCCTTGATTGTCAAGACGTACAGAATTGGTACGTGCACCCATCTGAACTAGATTCTGTACTGGGAGTACCACTGCTGAGCATTTTCACAGGCCTGTTGGAAAGTTTATTGATCTGCTTTATTTTTGTAGCATTCTTTTGTAGCCTTTCGCTTATTAAATGTAGAACCTTGACACTTGTCTGGAAACTTCCAACAGTATTGTCAATATCAATGAATAACTTCTTGCTGGTAAAGGACAAATGAAGACGTTTAATCTCTGGTGTACATATGGACAGATAGGACTAATAATTTGAAAAAAAAACCAACCCAAACCAACAGTTAAAAACCGCATCTCGCAACGATGCTTTTCCCTTTGCAGCACACAGGAAAACAAGCAGTGCGTGCCCACGGCGAGGTGTAGATTTTCCTGCAGGAACCAGGGAGCCTGGTGCCAGCCTGTCCGTGTCCCCGTGCACGCTCTCAGCCGTGCCCTGACCTACCAGGGTAACCTCTGCCTCCCCACCAACACTGGCACCGCGTCTGCAGCGGTGCAGGGCTCTGAGCGAGAGGGAAGGAAGGTGGTGGTGGCTGCCTGCTTTCGTCTTCAGGTGTTACCCTGGGCTTTCAGGGTGAAAGAAAATCTTCCTGGAAGGTTTAGCTCTTGAGAAAATGAGGAACTACTGAGCTGCCTCCTCCACTTGTTATTGACAGCTCAGACAAAAGCAGTAGTGATGTTCTGGGCATCAGCTGCTAGAGTTTCTCCGTGGGATGGGTGTGGAGGAGGCAGATATAAAAACAAAACAGAAGGAGCTTTGGCTGCTTCACGTAGAGGTCTGCACTCATCCCAGGACTAATGCTGACGGGCGACGGTGGATCTCTGGCAGAACAGTTCTTGGGAAACTGAATGAAATGTGGAATCTCCTGGCTTGTTTAAACTGGCTCCTGTATTTCTACTGTATCTAATAATGGGATGTTACTAAAATACAGATGAATAATAGAGATTATAATCTTCTGGCTACTAGAAAAAACTTTTTGCTGTGTTATATAGCTATAAGTATGTACACTGAAGTTAGGAACTACTCTGTTGTCCTACTACAAAAAAGAATAGTTTTAGATACTACTAAAAGAGTAGTCCCTTTTGTTTCTCATAGTGATATCAAGAGGCAAGTTAAGAAACCCAAGCAGAACTGTCAGCTTATAAATGTGCTGCTGATACACTACTTTGGTTAAAGTTCTCCAAGCCAAAGTTTTTTTTAATGCTGTACTTTATTGTGTTATTCAGCTTATTAATAAAAAAATTGAATATTGACTTGGACAAGTCCCACATAGGACTCCACTTGGTAAATCTCATTTATTTGACACTGAACCCTCTATAGCTACTCTTTGAGTGGGATTTTTTTCTACTTGTTGGTACACTCAATGGAGAGGGTTTTTTCAGTTCCTTAGATCATATTATGGTTATCTGGGCTTATAAATTCTTTTAAGGGCAGGTTTATTTCCTTTCTGTTCTGTTTCATCCCAGGTGAGAGTGATGGCATTCAGTTTTCAGTGCTGATAAAAAGAGCTAGAACTATATATAAAAATGTATCTCACGCTTTAGCTGAGCTGTGAAAAATGTGAAATTCAAAGTCATTGGATGCAACTGTAAGCAAATCTTTTGAAAAACAAAACAAACCCTTAAAAAATTGGAAATTCTGAGTTCAAAACATTCCTCAGCCAGCCATTGTGGTCACTGTTTTAGGTGCGAGAGCTGCCGAGAAGTTTGCCTCACCAGCCACTGGAGGCGAGAAGGGAAGTATGTGGAGGCCTGATAGTAATACTGCAGTTTCCCAGCTCAGGTTCTTTCCCTTTCTGAGATCCTGTTTACTTCATATGATTGCAGTATATTTAAAACATGATGCTTTGAAGTGCCCTTCTGAGGTCTGGCACAGCGGGGGGGAATTTACAGTTCCCACGTGCTAAATTGCTGTCCTTATTTTTACTGTCAGAAAACTGAAATTGAAGGCTGGTGGTTGTTTTCCAAGAATGAAGTGCAGATAAGGCATCTGCAGTTGCTAATAACTGGGAAATAACAATTCTGAATTTTAGAATTTGGTGTTTGTTTGGGTTTTTTTTTGTTTGGTTTGTGTTTTGTGTGTTGGTTTTTTTAAAAAAAAGAACTCTCAAACTCATTATTGCCTATATAATCTTATTAAAAATAGGGTCATTGTCCTTATATCAGTCTCAATTTTATGACTGAGTCTGATTCCTACTAAAGGTTTTGTATTAATTTGGTGAACTCCTTACTACAAGGATTGTCCTGTAGTAAGTGACCACCATGGCAGATGGAGCCCAAGGTAATGGACTGAGTGAACCCAATGGACATTTTATGGCTATTTTGAAAGGGTGGTCCATAGACTAAGGGAATGATATCAGCATATTATATCAAGGGATGAGAAGGGGGGTGGTGGTTAATGAGGATGTATTGGATTGTGTGGGACCTGGGCATGACGTAAATAGTATGGAATAAAGGGTGGGTAATGTCCTGGTTTCAGCTGAGAGAGGGTTAATTTTCTTCATAGTAGCTAGTGTGGGGTTATGTTTTGCATTTGTGCTGGAAACAGTGTTGGTAATACAGGGATGTTTTTGTTACATGGACCTGTTGTTGCTGAGCAGTGCTTACACAGAGCCAAGGCCTTTTCTGCTTCTCACGCTGCCCCACCAGCGGGATGGCTGGGGGTGCACAAGGAGTTGGGAGGGGACACAGCCGGGACAGCTGACCCCAACTGACTAAAGGGATATTCCATACCATATGATGTCATGCTCAGTTTATAAGAGGCTTGAGGAAGAGGAGGGACGGGGGGGGGTGGCATTCTGAGTGATGGCGTTTGTCTTCCCAAGTAACCGTTACACATGACAGAGCCCTGCTTTCCTGGGGATGGCTGAACACCTGCCTGCCCATGGGAAGTGGGGAATGAATCCCTTGGTTTGCTTTGCTTGTGCGTGCAGCTTTTGCTTTACCCGTTAAACTGTCTTTATCTCAACCCAGGAGTTTTCTCACTTTAACTTTTCCAATTCTCTCCCCAATCCTGCCGGGGGGGGGAACAAGCGAGTGGCTGCGTGGTGCTCAGCTGGGGTAAAACCACGGCAAGGATTTATAATCCTGTGTCAGCTTTATGGGATGAAGGAAACTAGCAAGAAGTGGCCAAAATGAGAGAACATTTAAATAAAGCAATATTCTGTCTTGTACAATAAACCAGTAGAAAAATCCAGCAGCAGATATATGGTACAGGAATTAACTCTTCTTGTTTCCTGAAAACATACTGTGGCAGGAAGGTGAACAGATTAAACACTGTCCAACATAGCTTAAATGTACTTTACAGTTTTGGTTCCTACAAGTACAGCTGAGCTGCTGTCGCCATAAGCACGCGAGCTATTGGCTACATGCACTTTCTCTGAAGTTTATCAAGGGAGGTAACGTTGGCGGTAAACTTTCAGGGAGGAAGCTGACTGTGTCAATGCCATCCAGTTTCCTCCTCCACCCTGAACCCAAATGCATTTTAAATTAAGTGCAGTTGTAAGTAGTAAGCAATAGCATTTTTGCTTGTTCTGAGTGGGATGTGTGTGCTTGCCATGCTGCCGGCCTCATCTGCTTCCAACTGGCAACTGCACAAAACCACAAGTCGGGAATCTTGACTGTCTAATCAAGAAGCCTGTATTTGGCGGTGTGTGCTCAGCTTACATGAGTGCAGTTCGTTGACCAACTTTAACAGCAAGTGTCAACTGTGTCAGCATATAATTATTTCTGCCTGTAAAAAAATAGCACAGAATCTTACAGGTTCGTTCTAAATGGAGGATTTTCCTTACAGCTGTCTTTATTAATGTTCATATCAGAGACATCTATTTGCTGAAGGTAGTAGAGACTTGATCCAACTCAAATATGTTATTTGTTTGCAGATTCTCTCTCTTCTGGCTGTTATTTGTGAAGAAGTTGTGGAGGATTGTATCAAGTGTGGTGGACTTTACTTCTTTGAATTCACAAGCTGCAGTGCCTTTCTTTTGACCCTCCTGATCCCATGTGTGTATTGCACTGATGTATATGAAACATTTGGGGAAGATAAAGTACAGAGAGTGGTATGGAATTTATTTTTTTTAAAACCAAACCATTTCTTGTAAGTGCTTAAAGCTACTGTGGAGTAAAAAGGCTATGCAGAATGAATCTCCTTTTCTTCTCTATTTAAAGGGTAGATTAAAGTAGCTTATAATTAAAAAAAAAAAATTAGTCAACTTTGAGAATCCCTTTTATATTGATAAAATTTCCAAAATTGTCACATTGGTTACCTGCAGGATTTTAGGACTTGTTTGAAAGTCTTTCACGCACACTAATACTACTGTGTAGTTATCTTGTATATGTACATATATAGAACACAGTTTACTGTCAGAATGGTATTTGTAACTTGCCTGTTTACCCCAGCTATTTTCCTACTGGTTGTGGCCTACTTCCTTTTTTGGTAAAATCGTACTTGTTAGAGTTCATGCTTTTATATTTCACAAGATCCAGCAGTGGCACAAAGTTGCTCTGTAAAGTCAGTAAGAAGTGTCCTATGAGCATCCCTTCTTACTTGTCTTCAGAGCAAACAGTAGGGTTTTTTACGTGAAGGTACAGATAAGGGAGTGTAGTAAGAGATTTGAATGAGCACATTTACTTACAGGTTTCTGGTTTCCTAGATGTTTTGCATAGGGAATAATGCTAGTGTGGTTGACCCGAGCCTGAATTTGATTGTGAAAGAAGTTAGATGAAATGATCAAAATACTTAAAGATGACAAAACCAAGGGAGTATGTGATGCAGATTCTTTTAAATAGTTGATAATGTTGAATGTTGTTTGGAATATAGCTGTAAAATGTATTTTCTGAAGCTCCCATTAGCATCAAAGTTTCAAAGCATAAATTCACTGGCAGATTAACTCAGCTGCTGTTATGATGCTTGCTCTTTTTCAGGTGTATATCGACAACTCTATAACATTCATTTTTTTATATTTGCAGAATTTTTGGGCCATGCCAACCATAGGCGTCTTTTTTCTGTTAGCGTCAATAGTGCTTGCCGCGACCAGCGCTGGGTCTGCTGTTGAAAAAGCTGCATGTGTAAGTCTTAAAATCACATAACTTACTTTGTATTTAACTTCTATGTTAATTTCTCTGCCCTCTAAACCTCACTCAGTTCGCAGGGAAGAAACTGGGCAGAGAACAGACATCAGTGCATTGTGATGTTTCAGGAGGAATTAGCTATTACAGACCTTCCAGATACTTACCATAGGAAATCCAAAGAGCAAGCTTTCCTCAGGATTGCTGAAAAGCTCTGCGTGCACCTGCAGCTCCCACCATTTGCAGCTTGTTCCTGGGTTCCTCAGACTTCACTGGTTTGGCTCCATGTAATTCCCTGTCACCTGTTAGTATTTTGACGTTGCTATCTCTCACTGCTTCCCCAGTTCTCGGATACCCTATCTCTGAAATGCCTACGTTTTTCCTCAATTGTCCTTTCGTAATGCCACCCCCTCACAAAGTCAGCAAGAAACCATGTCTTTTGCCAGGCATTATAATGCACATGTGGGGAATGCTGACTTGCAAAGGCTGCAGTAAGAGCAGCAGTTTCCTCAGCGACAGAAATAGCTAGGAGAGCGACAGGGTATGCATCTCTCAGGGAACACTGAAGAGGCTTTGGAATGCTGTGGGTGTTGTAATTCCTCACTTATTTGGCACTTTTTTACAATAACCTTGGAATTCTGAATATGTCAGTTTAAAAGATGAAATTTTAATTTTATTCTTGAATGAGAAAAAACTAGTTCGAAAAGAAAGGAAAATAATTCTGTTCCACAGGCAGCCTGAACTATTAGAGATGCACACTTCGGTGTAGTCATCTTTTGTGGAATTGATATATTCAAACCTAATGGTTTGAGTATAAAGTCTTTCAGGGTTTTTTTCCTGGTGCTGGAAAAAAAAACCCTACTGTGATTTAAGACTTACTGGTGTCAAATTGCTTTGAGGCAAACCAGTTGTGTAAAATTTAGGTAAAACTTAGAATAATGCATGTATTTCCTTGTTTGAATGAAGCTGCTGAAACCAACCTTCTCCTTATCACTATCTTGCCATGACTAATAATGAAATGTCATTAACAAAATGTCATTTCTTTCCCCCTTGCTGACCCAGTAAGGACTTGCTTAGGATCTGCAGATCTTATCCGCCTTCACCTTCCACGTGTTACTCTTCTTCGCTTAGTCCCTTTAATCAGCAGCCATCTCTTAGATAAATGCTCTGCTATACCACAAATGCCATGCTTTTTTAATAACTAATTTTTGCAATAAAATTAATATATTTTTAGTATTAAGGGCTGTTTAGAAAATATTGTGTGGTTCACGCTTGATTAAGAGAATGAGAACTGTAAAAATTTTTGCATTAAATGTGCTAGAATTATTATTTCTGATCTGTTTCTAATTTAAATGGAATCACCGATTTAAGGAGGACTGGAAACTTAATGCATTCTTAATGTCTGTAAATAGTCCAGCAAATTTCTCCAAACGATGTTAGAATATTGTTAATGTTTGTATATTTTAAAATCATATATATCTTTCACTTTTACAGACATTTGGATTTCTTGCAAGTGCTGCCTTTTTATCTGAAACTATGATAGAGTATTTTCACAGTCGGAAACAAAACATAAACAGACGCTCTGAAAATCCTGGCAACACTCAGTGCGCCACGGAAGATCAGCCACTGAATAAACAAAGCTAATTTTCTGGAATTCTTTCTTTTTTTTTTTTTTAACAGAGCAAACTAAATTGAACTTTCAGTGCACTGTAGGTAACAACTTCTGTCTCTTCCTTTTAATCAATTTTGTACACATTGCTCATCACAAATTTCTACAGATTCTTAGGTCAAGTTCGGCATCTTGGGCATCATGTTCTAAGGTCCTGCCACCTGTCCAGGCGACATGCACTAAAAAACCTTGTGTCTAAATAGAGTAACTTAAGGACAACAGTGTGCTGATTGGGTTTTGACAGAGGTGACTAATAAAGGTTAATGTTTGATTAATAAATTCTGAGCTATAGCCTAAAGATATTTTCTCTATAAATGGACCAGATACTTTGTTACAAGTTATAAAATAGTACAGCAGAGTTCATTTTTGTACTTACTGGTCAAACTGTGAATGTAAAAGGGATACCTAATTGGACTCTTACAGAAATGCTTATCCTTACTTAAGGGCTTTTGGGGTTTTTTTACTATTCATATGTCTCAGTTCTGTCTGTGGAGATCAGTTTAATGGAATAGCGAGTGTAGGGGTTTTATGGGGAAGGTAATGTAATGGTAAATTAAGGAGACTGTTTTTCAGCCCATGTTTGTCAAGGTTTGGACTGGTATCCAGAATCTTCTTTCAGATTATTTCGAAAGCTATAGAAGTTGCAGGAAGACACTTGAAAAGAGAGCCCTGAGAGGGAAAAGACAAAGAATAAATATTTTCACAAAGTAACTCAAAAAGTAGCAATTGGAACATCAATGGGGAAAACATGCCAGCACATTGGTACTACACTGGTGAGTAGTACTTGCAAGGTTAATACCATATGCCTAGTTAACAATAAGTTTTGCCAGAATGGTTATGTACCCTGCCATTGTCTTTGTTTATAAATATGGCGCTAACTTGACACTTCTTGCTACTGACTAGGTCAGCTGGTAAACAGGTAAATAAGCACTTGTACCCTGGATTTGTCTTAAAAGTGACAGGCTGTAGGACTGCAAGAAACACTACTGATGCAACACGTATCAGGCAAGTGACAGACATATCAGAACAGATGTTGATGGCTGTAAAAGGACTGAAGTGGTGAAAAGTGAAACTGCTAGACATCATGTAAGAGGAAAGCCTTCAAAAGCAGGGCAAACTGCTGTAAGCCAGGAGATGTTCCAAAATACCAAAGCAAATGAGAAAAAAATGATTATGCAAAAACAATTCTTGTTTGAGTGCTCATGACATTTGCTGTGTCTTCCAGGCATTTAACTCCATTTCATCAATAACCTAGTCTGACAAATTTATAGTCCTGTAACCTGTTGTGGCAGCACTGAGACTAAGCCCTCCAGAAATTGGCTGAGCAAGCTGTATTTGGTAAAGGATGAGGAAGCTGTTGTACGACTGAGCACTGTAAAAGGTCAAAGTTTTTTTTTTTCCAGTGCTGCCACTTTCTAATGAATGTGAGTTTGTCATGTTCTTTCTCTAAGTTCTAAAACGTAAGCCTAACACTACACTTTGCTTGGAGGATGTAAAATTTTGACAGGTGGTGTGAAGCATCAGGTTTAAGCTGTAGCTTGGTTTCAGAGCCATGCATAGAAGACATACTTTGCTTCATAAAATTGCCTGCTTTGTGAAGAAGAAATGCTCTTTGGGCTGGCTTTTTTTTCCCCCTTGTATTTATTAGTGTCCATTTGCACTAAACCCTGATCTCATTCTAGGTGTAACAGAGCTTGCTGTAGCTGTCTCTGAAAACTGGGTAATTAGAGATGTTTTGTTTACAAGCCCTGTTACTGGTGATATGAAACTTGCTTTAATGAGAAATATCTCTGCTACAATTTGCAGTGTCTTACTTTGGGGATTGTGTCCATATCTATGATTAACATTCTAAGAGAGTTTGGTTTTTTTGTTTTTTATTGCCCAGGATTCTACTGAATTTGTTTTCACATCAAAATGTCTGTAGTCTCTAAACCTTGATCTATGATTAAAAGCTGTATATATAGTGTAAGAGTAACACTGTGCTGCTGATATTTATTAAGCAATGCAGCATCGTGATGGGACTTTTATCTTGACGTCATTTTTGTTGTAATTTTTCTCAGCCTGAAAATATATGAAGAGCGTTCTGGGCTTTGGTTCCTTTTTCTATAGACTTTTCCCCACCTAAGTGCTTTGTTATCGGTGTCCATTCCTGAATTGGAGATACTGGTACTGAAAAAGATCTGTAAAGTCACGTCTCTGCCTTGGCCTCCCTATCTATGATTACATACTGCTGATACTTTACAGAGAAACTGAAACACAGAGCAAGTTATTTTTATGAAAAGGTGCCACAAGGAGTTGGTGCCAGGAGAAGTGACTCTGACCGAGATCTCCTGGCACCCATGATCTCACCATTAGGCCTTTTGAAACAAATACTGGCAACCTTTGCAGAATGGTTTGGTGGATTCTCCTACTACATCCATGCTGGCATCCCTGGCGTGATTTCGGTTGTTGGAGTGAGGGGGTTTTGGCATGGTTTTTGTTTGCATTGTAGCTGTTCCAAGTAGGTAGTTTATACCCATTCTCTCGCCAACTGACTGATCAATGTATAGATTTGAGGATCAGATTCCATCTCTGAAAGGGATGCAAGCCTTGCCCTCAGCTAATGAAAATGAGAAACGACAGTCTTTGGGAAGCTGGTTAGTTGCTTTCCCGATGCCACAGGTGTTTACTAATAGGAAGAGTCCTGCTATACTTTAGAACAATACATATTGCTCTATTCCAGATACTGTTTAGCTGGCATTAATCTGGCACGTAGTAGTTAAATACTACAAGCAAGTCTCATATTAGTTATAGGTTTAAGGCAATTGCTAAATCGTTGCTTCCAACCCAGTTGTTGGCTGACAAAGCAGTCTCTGCATGGTGGTACTATTAATCCTAGGCTTGTAAGTATTTGTTCTGTTTCAAAATAGTTGAGAAGCAGGTTTGCTCATGTGTATGCTGCTCTCTGCTTCTGCGAGGTCGTTTCCCTAACTGCTTTATCAGCTCCCTCAGATAAAGGGGCAGGTGTGTGTCCCTCCTAGCTCTTCTGCTCTCCCAGGACAGGTCAGGGAGAGAGACACAGCCTTGTTGCCATGGCTGAGCAGACTGGTCTCCTGCAGTCTTGACATGCCTGCTTCGATGCTTCTGGATCCAGGCTTTGCGTGTCCATCTTTTAATTAGACTGATCCCAGAGAATGGTGTTGGAGCTGGATTAAACATCTGGTTTTTGCAGGAGCTCTGCGTGTGGCTGGATGTCTCTTACCCCTCCTGTGCTCTGTCAGCAAAGTGGTCTGCTTGTTTCCCAGCCTGCTTCTGATGAAATCAGCCTGCTTTAGCTAAACCGGCTATTTAAATTGCTTACATTAAGGTGGCTGATTTTGACTGAAGTGGATTAGGGATTGTTCAGGAGAGTGGCGGGAGCTCCAGCAGAAATGCTGTTACAAGGAACTGTCTTAAATTTTTTCTTCTGTTTGTTAAGTAACCATCTTTACAATCTTTAACTGGTAGTAAAACCTGTGCAAAGAAGCAACAGCCCAGTATGTCTTTCTGGGGATTGCCTTCTCCCTTCTTCACCACGGTGCTTGGCAGTGGGGTTGCGAGCCTGCTCAGACACATTAAAAGCTTTTGTCTTTTCCAGCTGAGCCCGTCCAAAAATATTTAAAGGCTCTGCACCCACTTTTAGGCTTTGTTTATAGTGCCTTGAGAATCAGTGGAGAGGATTCTCCAGAACATGTGAGGACTTGTTAAGTGGCTGGACTGAGAGTTTCTGCTCCAAAAATCTGCACTGGGCATTGTGTAGATTGTGAATGTTAATTGTTGTGTTTGGCGTTTAGCCCACATGAAAATCACAGTGCTACCAGTGCCCTTTGGTTTCTAACTATGTGAAGGAATTGTGCCTTGCTGCTTGCACCCTGTGCTTAAAAACAGCAGGGAAGGGTTGTGGTCTCTTACAATTAAGTTTTACCTTTGCACCCTCCAACTTGAAAAAACAGTGAGCTATCTCACACAATTCTCAGAGCTCTGCACAAGATGTTTTTGCATAATGGCCATCAAGGTGACTCTCATTCAAATTTGTGCAATAAAAATACCGAGCTTTGTACGCTGAAGGGGAATACTGTGTGAAATTTTTGAAAGGTTATATAAAATTGTAACGAATCAAGATGCTGGTAGTGCCTTTAAGATGGAAATTCATCTTTGTTTTAGTCTATTGCTGTAAGCATAAGCAGTTCTCTAGATATTAAATTTTATGCTGTTCAGAATGGTCTATCATTTTTAATACCTTTGAGAATTTAAATGACTCTTAATGATTATTAAATCGGGATGATAATACAATAGATTTTATATATAAAATAAAAATTTTATACAGTTTTGTTGCCAGTGTTGCCTTGAATTTCCATTTAAGTAATTTTGAAATGCTTAAGTATTGTTTCCATTCTCAATCTGTGGTCTTTTTTAATGTATTATGCTTTTTTGTCTGAAGAACTTTCTAGAATATTTTGTAATCATTTTTTAAATAAAATATTAGTAAATAACTTAAGTGTTTCTCGTTTCTGCTGCTGTGATTTGGTGTCGCTATATAGTTCTCCCAGAACAAACCATAGGAAATAACATCATTCTTTGTTCCTGGTTTGGAGGAAAGAGCTCGCATTGTGTTTGCCTGTTACTGGGGAAGAGGGTCCAACCTGCGAAGCTGGATATTCTCACTGCAGGTTTCCAGGAGGAAAGGTCTGATAAGGTCAGTATCACCTCTTACCACAGAGTCCAACCAAACTAGTTTGCAATGCACCTACTGTGGTCTATAGGTCACTGTGACAAGCATAATTCAAGTGCTGCTTTCCTATTGTCCTGATTAGTTGGGGCCGAAAAAAAATCAAGTGGCAGGCTTGTTAAAGGAAGGAGCACAAACTAGCAAAAGGTCTTAAGAGCAAATAATTTCTTCTGGCGTAGAAAAATGCAGGTGACCGAGTTACTTGGTTGAGCAGGAACTGCTGGATCC